GATAGAATCTCAGGCTGCTCTAAACTCACCATGTATCCAAAGTTGGCCCAGACCTCTGATCTCCCTGCTTCTGCTTCTGAGAGCAATGTGAGCTGCTAGACCACCCAGCAAAAGCAAAGATTCTTTTCATTAAAGACAGCTTTTGTTTAACACTGGTCTCTTCCTAAAGACTGGAAACCTGTATTTCTTCTTTAGTTATCATGATAAAACATCCCAGATATTAGCTGGACATGCAGGCTCACATCTGTATTCCTAACATTAGGGAGACTGGGGCACGATTGCCATGAGATTGAGGCCAGCCCGGTTTACCCAGTGCACATCAGGTCAGCATGGGCTACATAATGAGACCCTCCCTTGTAATAATAAAAAATAAATCATTGATTTATTATAATGTCATAATACCCAACATCAATGTTCTTCCAAATTCAGTTTCTAGTAAAAGTTAAGAGACAAAGCCTTCACTTATGTTATCACATGTGGCCCTTCCTCAAGAGGTGGGGAGAGCTGGAGAGATGGCTCAGTGGCTAACTGCTTTTACAGAGGACCTGAATTTGGTTCCCAGCACCCGCATGGTAGCTATCTAACTGCCTTAACTAACTTCAGTTTAAAGGGAATAATGCCCTCTTCTGTCCTATAGCAGAACTACACTCAAATGGTATACATACAGGCAGTCAAAACACACATAAAATAAAAATACAAATTTTAAAAAAGATGTATGGGATGTTTTGATATTTCTTCTTCTTTTTCTTTCTTTCTTTCTTTTTTTTTCAAGACAAGGTTTCTCTATGTAGCCCTGGCTGTCCTGGAACTAGCCCTATAGACCAGGCTGCCTCAAACTCAGAGATCCACCTGCCTCTGCCTCCCTCCCGAGTGCTAGGATTAAAGATGTGCGCTACCACTACCCGGCTTGATATTTCTTCTTAAGAGTGCATTAGTTCCATAGCACCAGGACACCATTCACAGTTACAGCTTTATTCTACCTTTCAGTTTGACATTTGTTTTGTTCTAATTAATAAACACAATTTATTATTTTTTAAAGATCTGTGTATTTCTTATGTATACATTGTTCTGTATGTAGGCTAGAAGAGGGCACTAGATCTCATTACAGATGGTTGCAAGTCACCATGTGGTTGCTGGGAACTGAACTCAGGACCTCTGGAATAGAAGCCATCTCTCCAGCCCCCTTGACGTTCTTACAGGTAGGGAATCATGCAGGCCAGATGGCCTTCAAGGAGGACCTTGGATTCCTGCCTCTGCCTCCTAAGTGCTGGGATTACACAAATGAGCCTCAACTTTTTTTTTTTTTTAAGATAGGGTCTTACATTGCGCTGGCCAACCTTGAACTCACTGTGTAGACCAGGCTGGCCTTGAACTCATAGTGATCTGTCTGCCTCTGCCTTCCGGCCACCTTTATTTGTTTGAAACAGGATGATCTGGAGCTCACTGTGTACTCAGACTGCTCCCTAACAGTGAGCAGCCTCCTCTCCTCAACTACCTGAACGCTGATGGCAGACATGAGCCACCACATCCACCTCACTTAACCTTGCTTTCTGCTCGAGAAGTCCCATCCATGCAGAACACTGCAGGACTAAACTCTTTTCTCTCTAGTCCAGAAAGAACTATATTGCTGGGAATCAAACCCGGAGCTTTGCACATACTAGGTAAGTGCTCTAGCGTTGAAGTTCATCCTTAGTCCCTTGTACCCTTTTCTTCACTGGTTTACTAACTTGCCAGAAGCCTGAACAACGTGTCTTCTTAACCGACTAGTTTATGTAGTTTTTTTTGTTGTTGGTGGTGGTGGTGGATTTTTTTTTTTGAGACAGAGTTTTTATGTAGCTTTGGAGCCTGTCCTGGAACTAACTCTTGTAGACCAGGCTGGCCTGGAACCACAGAGATCCACCTGCCTCTGCCTCCCGAGTGCTGGGATTAAAGGCATGCACTGCCACCACCACTGGCTGGCTTATATAGTTTTAATTAAGGAGGATAGCCAGTTAATGTAGAAGAAGAAGAACAAATGAACATAAGAAAAAAGGATAAGTAAGATGGTTCGGTGGGTAAAGGTGCTTGCTGCCAAGCCTGACAACTTAAAAGACTGTCCTCTGACCTCTCCGTGTTTGCCTTGGTACATGCACATCCACACATGCACACACACACACACACACACACACACACACGAACACACATACATCCATACATACTCGCAAAATAAATTAATTAAACAGGAAGATTTCAAAAAAGATAATGATAAATAATTATCAAATACATATCAGGGAGTGCGTAAGAGAGGGCTCAGTCATTATGAGTAATTACTGCTCTTGCAGAGAGCCTTCATTTGGCTCCCAACACCCACACATGGTGGCTCATAACTATAGCTCCAGTACCGGGGGATCTGGTGCCCTCTTCTGGCCTCCATCAGCACTAGGCATGCATGTGGTGCATATGCACACAAATAGGCAAACACTCACACACAGAAAATAATAAATGGATACATTGTTTTGGGGGGAGGTTGGTTTTGGTTTTTGAGACAGTATTTCTTTGTGTACCCTTGGCTGTCCTGGAACTAACTCTCTCTGTAGACCAGGATGGCCTCAAACTCATAGATCTGCCTGCCTCTGCCTCCAAGTGATGGGATGAAAGCCCTGAGCCCTGAGCTACCGTTGCCACCACAGCTAAGTCTTTAAGCTGTGAGTGTCCCTTGAGCATCTTCACCCATGTGTCCCACTGCTCTCATGTAATGTATTCTACTTCTCCGCTCTAAATAAAATGACTCTGCTACTTTGAAGTGAGGCGGGGAGGGGGGAGCTGTGTGGGCTTTATAGTGATGTAATGAGAGGACCAAGCAAGATGAATGGCAGCGTAAGACCACATATCCCACGCAGCCATCAGAACACTCTTCTCATTCGTGTACACCTTCCCCATTCTATCACACATTGGCTGTATTACCCTAGGAGAACGGCTCACAGCTCTTGGCCTTGAGCTGGACCTGGTGGCTCGCCTGGACTCCCGGCACTCCAGAGCCTAGGCGGGAGAGCTGCCTGGAGCTTAAAGCCAATCTGAGCAACACCATGAACTCTAAGCCTAGGCTACAGAAGAATACCATGTCTTGGAAGGGTTAAAAATGCAAACAAATATGTGTCTTCCTGGGTTTCTCATCTGTGGGTTTGCTGTCATATTGTGAGGACTGAATGAGAATGCACATACCACGCTAGAATACGGTCCAATGTGCACTGAGTCCTCAGGAAACATAAACCACATAGTCCCAGCATCTCTATTGTCAAAGGCCACACATCCTCCCAGATGCCAAATTCTTGCCTGAGACACCATTTCCAACCTTGCCTGTCTATATAATGATCAGCAACCCTTTTTCAACCATTCTCTATCCGCAAGGCCTTCTCTGCACCAATATGGCGTCTGCTGCCAGTTGGGTTTCTCCTAGATAATAATATTGCTTTAGTAAGCCTGTGCATTTATACATTAATGGTTACTTCTCTAGAATGTGGTTTCTTGGTCTTTTGTGTGGTTTTCAAAGCCTAGCACAGTATAACTGTGAGTGTCCAGCAATTCTTGCTTGAGGAAAGAATGAACTTAAAGTCAGCTAACCTTTGGGTAGTGGCCCTAACCCTGATGGCCCTGTATGTAGAGATCTTGTCAGGGCTATATCAAAACGGTCTGAAATTCTCGAAAGAGCGTTAGTCTTGGGTTTTGTTTTGTGTGTATGTGTGTGTGTTTTATTTTTTGTTCATTTGTTCTTAACTTCTGAGCCATCTCTCACTCAAAATGTTTCTATCTTTGTCTTGGAAGGTTTGTTATTGTTTCTAAGACCGGTTCTCTCTGTGTAGTCCTGGTTAGCCTAGAGTTCTCTCAGTAGATCAGGCTAGCCTCATATTCAGAGATCCAGCTGCTTCTGCTTCCCAAGTGTAGGAATTAAAGCCATGAACTAACAGACCAAGGTACCCTGCCACAATTACTTGTAATTATTCTTTCTTTTTTCCTTTTTTGTATAGTTTTTTGAAATAGTGTTTTTCTGTGTAGCTCTGGTCATCCTGGTACTCTGTAGATCAGGCTGGCTTCAGATTCAGAGATCTGCTTGCCTCTGCTTCCAGAGTGCTGGGATTAAAGGTGTGCACCACCACCACCAGCACAATTATACTGTCATTCTAAGACACTTGCAACCCCACCATTCTGGAAGCAGGAGCATTCTGAGGCAGAAATATTGTAAGATCAAGGGGAGCCTAAGTCTCTAAATAAATAAATTCAAATGTGTCAGAGTGCATCTGATTTTTAAAAAATAAGTTCATTTGTGGCAGGGCCTCACAAGGTAGCCCAGGCTACCCTTGAACTAAAGACTATTCTCCTTCCTTAGCCTTCAGTGCTGGGATTATGGGCACCAGCTATCGTGCTCATCTTGAAACACAAAACAAAACTCAGCCCCTCGCTGCTTGCATTGGCAATGCTCCTAGTGGAGTGTGACCGCAGGAAGCAGTGCAGCAGCGAGAAAAGAATGCAGAGCATGGGCAATGTTTGCTGAGTTCCTGCGCTGGAAAGAGCTGCTGCAGCTGGAAGGCGCTGTGTGGCAAGTTAGTGTGCCGGCCTCAACCGTGGTGCATTTATCTGCTTGTAGACAGCGGCTGGATTTTTTTTTTTTTTTTTTTTTTTAAGATAGCTGGAAGGAGCTTCAAGGGGACAGAATGAGGGGAGGGGCCTCAAGGGATGACGTTAGAGGGGGCATGTGAACCTCCAGCCTGGGAAGTAACCTACAGGATGTGATTTAATGAAAACCAATGTGGGGGGTGCTGGAGAGATGACTCAGAGGTTAAGAGCACTGGCTGCCCTTCCACAGGTACTAAGTTCAATTCCCAGCAACCACATGGTGATTCACAACCATCTATAATGAGATCTGGTGTCCTCTTCTGGCCTGCAGGGATACATGCAGACAGAACACTGTATATATAATAAATAAAATAAATCTTAAAAAATAATAAAAAAAGAAAACCAATGTGTTCTCTTTATCCCTAAATATATATATATTGCCATTTGAGAGGTACTGGGGATTGAGCCTGGGGGCTAATGTTCTGCTACTGAGCTATATTCCCAGTCAGCCATTATGGTTTTCTGGTTAAAAGCCTTAGTCTCAATAGTTTAGATACAAGTAATACTTAGGAGATGTAGTAAACACAGGTCATCCAGCAACACAGAAGGACTAACTTATCAGATTGCTCATCCCCTGGGTGATAAGAAAAAAGGTACCAGGATCTAAGAGAAGCAGACAAGAGGAGGGTAAGAAAGAAAGTAGAAAAGACTATTGTTTGGGATGTGTCTCCGAGGCCAGGAGAAGGCAGGTCGGTAATGGATACCCAGAGGATGTAGGCTGAGGATATTGGTGAATGGGAGGACCTTCATCAGACACTGTTTGGAGTTCTATTTGCTTTTACCTCTGAGCCACAGCATTTGAAAGTCACCAGAGTGAGGGACATAGATATTACCTATCTCTCCTGATTCCCAGGGCCACAGAGCTGAACAAGGCTATAAAAAATGCCAAGGATTGAAAGAAAAGCAAGCAGGTCCCTCAGGTCTTCCAACGCTGGAACAATGCTAAAGGCTTAACAAGCCCCGTGCATCAGTTCTGCCTCCTCAGACATGGTTCCTGTGAGCAAGTCCATTGCACCATGCAATACATTCCCCTTTGGTCCAGCGTGTGTGTGTGTGTGTGTGTGTGTGTGTGTGTGTGTGTGTGAGAGAGAGAGAGGGGGGAACTGTTTGTCTGTGTCCCTAGGCTTAGAATTCTCCTGAATGCCACCAGAGGGCAGGGTATTCATAGAACGGCCTAGGCTCAGAAGTTCGGAACAGAGTAAATCTTCCTAGCAACAAGATGTAGCAGGTTTCAGCCCAGGCCCTGGGAGTACATTGACTGTCCCTAGGATCCTACATACCCCACTTCCAGAGTGGTCCCTACCTGTGCAGTTCTAGCTAGGGACATCAATCTACCTGCATTTCAGGTGTCTACTGTGTTAAAATACCAAGATTCCCCACAACCCCCAAGCCAAAGAAACACAGTCAGTAACAGAAGGGAAAGGAAGTGGAGGATGAGAAGCAGGCAGAGCAGCACTCAAGGAAGAAACTCTCACTGTAATGCTAGAACTTGACAGGAATCTGTTTCCCTCAGATACACCCAAGCCAAAACCTGTTCTCGCCCCAGCTTCTCCTCTCTCTCTCTCTCTCTCTCTCTCTCTCTCTCTCCTACAATGCAGCTTAAGTTACCTTGAACTCATAGTTCTCCTGTTTTGTCCTTTCTCCATCTCCAGAGTGTTGAAATTATAGGTGGGTACCACCATTCCTGGTCACTCTAGGATTTTTGTTTAGGCCACATATGTGTGTAAACTGTAAGGAACACCCATGATTCATAAATTGGCCTAGCCAAATCCCAGAAAAAAGAAAATCAGACCGCTTCATCAGCGGGCAGGAGGCAGCTGGGCTGTTTTATAGTCGTCAGGGATAGGCCCAAACAGCTCATAGAAGACTCCAAATGCATTGAGCATCAGCCTTCAGGCTCCCTCGGTAAGCCCCACCCCCACCCCCGAGTTGGGATGTGTACTCATAAGAACAGTTTTGGTCCCAGATGGGGGTGAGACCAGCACCAAAAACAGGGCAGGGCATTTCTGGTCTGTTGCTGATGGGTTGCGACACCCTCTGCAGCAAAAGGGTTTGAAAGATCCTGCTGTGGAAGAAGGGAGAGTTGGGCATTAGCTGTTGATTCTGGGTAGTCCAGATTCTCCTCCTCTTTGGAGGTGAATTGCCTGAGTGAAGGTGGTTTCCAATAAACCTTCCCTTTATTAAGCCACCTGCAGGAGAACGTGAGGCATCAGATTGACTGGCTGTGTCAGACAGTGTTAATGCCACACTCCAGGTCCTCACCTTGGTGGACTGGGCAACCAGATCATTATATTACAATTTATAAATAGAAAATAAAATTATCGGGTGAGACTGGGGCACTGGGGAAGACGCAAAAAAGTCCTCATTAATGAGTGCCTATCAGCAAACCCAGTTATCAAGGACCGGAGGAGCACTCCTCTCAGCTAAAAGTTGCCCCTAAACCAGTAAGTTCCAGCTCGTCTTTTTCTCTAGTCTCTTTCCATACCCACTTTCCCAATCAGCATCACCTGCTGCCCACATCCCCAGATCTTAGCACGTCTCGGTTTCGGTTTCGCCCAGAGCCTGGAGTACTTCTATACTCGGATGCTCAGCCCATTAACTCCTCCGCCAAGCGGTAAAGAAGTCGAGAGTACCAATGCATGCCAGTCGGCTGGACCGCACCCCCGGGGAGCAGCGCCCCGAGCGCGTGCAGCAGGCGCAAAGGAGCGAAGGCGCGGTGGGCCCACTGGTGACTCTCCAGAACCGCGTAGCAGGAGGCAAGGACGTCGTTTACCAGCAGCGTCCCGTGTGCAGTGAGCGGTGCGAACACGCCCACTGCTTCCTCGCGGGCCACACGGGCTACGCGAGCCGGCCGGAGCGCGTCCCCACCGGGAGCCAGCACCGAGTCCCCAGCGCGTAACCGGCGCGCGAACACCGGTGCAAAGTCACCTGGAGCCGGGGCTGGCCCACGAGCCGCGAACACCAGATGCCAGGGTGTGAGCAACAGTTTGCGCGGAGGCCGCTCGGTCTCCACAGCTACGAAGGAGGCGCGGCGCTGCAGGTCCCGGTCCAGGAAGAGTAGCACCGGCGTGGGTACCACCCGGCCCGCTGCATCGGCGGCCAGTACCCAGTCACCACGATGGAGTTCTCTCAGCCCCTTCCGCTCGCCACTCCGCAGACGCACCGTGGCATTTCCCGGAAAGCAGCCGCCGGCTCGGACCGCCAGTGAGTTATCTGCAAGGCACAGCCATAAGGAGGATTAAGACCAGATCAGCAAATACTAGAGCAGATTCTAGAAGACGTGGGTGAAGCCCAACGCAGACCTCACTAGTCACGGGATATAGTTCAATTTCCAGGGATCTAGTCACACCTTGAGTGTAAGTGGAAAAGGTGGTTTACAACACTAATGCCTGTTTGGTCCCTTGAGCGTAGTAAGGAGATTATCCCCCAAGAAAACCCCTTTTGGATGGACCATCTGGCGTCTACTGTACCAGCTTTGACCGACACGTGGACGTGGTTTCGGGACTCGTAGTAGACCCAGTCGAAGCCGGCTTCCACTGCTAGGCGCGCCAGCAAACCATACTTATTGCGGTCACGGTCAGACGTGGTGATATCCAAGGCGCGGCCTTCGTAGTGGAGTGAGTCCTGAGCGTGGTGGCCATCCTCGTCCCAGCCTTCAGTCACACGTAGGCGCACTCCGGGCCACATGTTCATCACCGCAATGGCTAGAGCGTTCACCCGCTCTTTGCAACGCTAGTGGGGGGAATAAAGCAGCCAGTTTCCCCACTACCACTACCATCACCACCACCGGGCAGGCGATGGGCAGGGTGAGGTGCAAGGGACCAGTAAGGCATCAGTGCATCTTTATTCTCTGGACCAACTCCATTCCCTCCCGGTTTCTCAGTGTCCTGGGGAAGCGAGAATTTGAATAGGTGTAGTCACCAATCTGTACTTGATTGCCAGGGCATGCTTAGAGAACCAAACCATGGGATTAACCCCTCTGAAGATGAGAGGGTGTCCCCACACCTAGTTATTTCCCCCATTTTCAGTGCCTACATCTCACCCTTATTTGTTCCAAGACCTCAGTCCAATCAAAGAGAGAATCATAGGAGAGAGGATGGAAGTTTGGCTAGGGAGGGCCTGGCTCCCCGAATCGAGTCCTATTTAAGCCTGACCCCCGCCCCGGGCCCCAGTTGCCCTCCCTCAGTCTGATTCATCTTTTGTTTGGTTGCCTTCCCTGGCACTGGGCATCGCTTCCTTCCTTCCTTCCTTCCTCCTCCTCCTTTCAGCCTCTAGCATTAACCCATTGGTGGTCTGGGTGCGCCCCTACAGAGGTGCCCAAGAAGAGCCGCGTGGGATCAAGGCTGCTGGAAAAAGAGTCGGGTGGCGGGGGCTGCATGAAGTACAATGGCTATTCTCCCGGATGACTTAACTAAGCGAGAATCTCGGGCCGAGGCCGGGAACGCGTCGGGAGAAGCGGACTCAGCAGCTCCAGCTACAAAGGCGCTTTTCAGCCGCCCCGGCTCAGGGAGAGGAAAGGGCAGAACGCCGCGCCCCACATCCCTGCTCCCGCCCCGCAGGTCCCCTCCCCCAGCGTGGCCAGCCTGCCACTGTGTCAGTTCTGAGAGCCCCCAACTCTCCCATCTCTGGTTCAGAATCCGCCCTTAGAGGCGTAGGAGGAGCAGCACCTGAGAATGGCAGAACCTACCTCCACCTCCCGCGCAGGGTGGGAGTGGAGGAAAAGGAGCCACCCCCGGGGGAGGGAGGCCACGGTTATCTTGGCGGCTCCGGTCTGGGAGTTGGAGACCTTGGCGCACCAGAGCCGCGACACCAAGGGAGCAGGAGCGCAGGAGGCGCGCAGAGATCAACTTCTTTTTCTTTGTCCCTTTCCATCTCTCACCTCGAACTTGGATTGCTAAATGGGCATTCCTCCTACCCTCTTTTCTAGTCAGCTGCACCTCTGAAGAGGCGCTATACAAGTGGTACTCTTTCCAACTTGGTGTCGTTTTGTCCCCTAAGAAGGCCCTGACCTGCGGGGGCAGTAGCCCAGAACAGAGGAGCCAACTCAATAGAGTCCTTTTGCAGCCAGGGTGTGGGAGATAAGCAAGACTGGGTGTGTGTGTGTTGGGGGGGGTTGCCCCGGGCCTCTGGAGGCCTCCTGAGCCTGTCCCTTGTTCGCCCCTCTGCTGCAGGTTTCAACCAGAGGGAAGCACCACAAAGTTCCATGGCCAAGGTGGAAAGGAATGCTCCTTTCTGATTTCTAGAAAGAGAATGACTTCATCCCTGGAGTGATTAGTTCTCACCCTTAACCACAGCAAGTAGGAGGTAGAGGCAGGAGGATTTCTGTGAGTTCTACATAGCAAGTTCCTAGCCCATAAGGGCTACATAAAAAAAATATATATCTTTCTTCCCTGTGCAGGTTTTCCTAACAAAGTAACCTGGAAAGCTATGGCAGTCAGAGGAAATCCGTACCCCTTCCTCTCCCCCACCTCCCTACTGCACACACAATTAGGTGTGTAATGGAAAGTATATAGGACTCGGAACCCTGAGTCCCGAATTCTAGTCTTGGCAACGCCATGAATTAGCTGTGAGGCCCTGATTAAATTGCTTTTTCCCCCTGGGGCCCACCTCTCAGATAAAAGTGAGGGTGGAAAAATATGTCTTCTGAATTTCCTTTCAGTTCTGACATTCCAAAACATGGCCAGTGGGGGTTCTTTTTCGGTCATTGTCCACCGTATTCCAGGTAGGTTCAGCGCCCATCTGTAGTAGGTGCTCCATACTGGTAATTGAATTTAATTATTTATTCAAGGCAAAGGTCTCAAGGTTCATCTATCTGTTCTGAAGACTACTTTTTACCCAAAGTCTGTTGTTTAGACCCTAATACAGGCCTGTCCTAGTTTAGGACACCTCTCTCAAGACGGAGGACAATCCTTGACCACCCCATTCTCAGGAAGATGGCCTGCCTGGTAACCTGACTCTGGCTCATTCCTTTTCCAGCCCCCTTCTTTTTGACTCAGAACTTTTGGACATCAGGCCAAGAGCCAGGCTAAGTGTAAAGCCTTCTGTAGGCTACCTACCCTAGCCAGCTCCTGGCCCCCAGCTCACCCCAGCCCTTCCTGCCTGGCTCGGTGGCTGACCCCCGGTCCACGCCTCAGCCATTTCCCGTCTCGCCTGCCGCCATCCTCCTTTCCCCGCCCTCACTCCAGCCTCTCCCAGATTCACTCTCACTAGTCAGTTCCTCCTCCCCCTCCCCATCCCAGCCTTTGCCGTTTGGATACCTCCAAACCACTACCAGCCAGCAGGTTATTTGCTTTCTTGAAGGATGTGATGAAGGAGGTCTTACTTTATTTTAGTTTAAGGTCTCAGGCGATAAAGTGACAGTTCATACTCCAGGTAGGAAAACCGAGGAGGAGTTACTGATGTGCACGAGAACAGGTGGGGAGAAGCGCTCCTTACCTCTGTCATCAGGCGATCAGCCCCGCTGTTCTCCTCATCCTTGAAGATTATGTCGGGGTTGTAGTTGGGTACGAGGTCCCGGAAGCGCTCGGACCCCCTTGCTACCCTCCCCTCCGCTGGCCCACTCGCACCAAGGGTCCGCTCGGGCACACTAGGCACAAACTGCTTGTACAGCAGAGGCACAAGCTGCTTGCGCACGTATCGCCGCCGGCCAACCGGTCCCCGGCCCGGCCCGCAGCTCTGGACAGACAGTGCCAAGAGTGCCAGGCAGCACAGGGGCAACAGACTGGCCCGCAGAGCCATGGGCACAGTGGAATTGGGTCAAAGGGGAGCGTTCTGGTCCTCACTAGCTCTCCTGTCAATTGGGCATCTCCACGAGAGCCAGCACCGCAGATAGAGAAGCAAGCCCCCAGAGTACCTGGAGCGCTGGTGACTCCGAACACCTGGCAACCACTGACTCTGCCTACATGCCCCGGGGAACCTGGAACCTACCACTGATAGACTACCATTACAGGGCAGGTGGGTCGAGGGTGAGTGCCGGCCAAACCGGCCCCTGCTGCCCAGCTCCGGTGCTCCCAGAACCGCCCTGACCCCGCCTTAAGTGGTCCCTGGCCCCGCCCCCCGCCCTTCTCCCAGGACTGTCCCGCCCTCTCCCACCCAGGCGGGGGATCTAGCGGTCACCACTGTTCCATTCTTCACTGAAGTGTGTCTCATCCTGGAAACCAGGCAGGCACCTGCTTAGGAAATCCTTGCAGCTTTACAGTCCTGGCTGCCTGGATAAGCATCCTTCTACCTCCGAGTCTAAATTAGGAACCAAACTATCTTCCTCTGCTAGTCTTTGCTCCCAAAGTCGACTCTGGCAGACCATGCCCGCTGCTGTCATCCAGGAAGTCTGAGTTCCAATTTCTGCTCAAGGCCATCCAAGCCCTTTGGGCATACAATCAAAGCCTCCCTCCTCTGTGGTCCTCAGGTCTCCCTGGTTCTTCTCTCTCCACAGTCATCCATGACCAGGAGTGGATCCCAGAGCATCATTTTCCTTGGTGAATTTGTATCTTCTGAGGAACAGAGCTGGACACTCACAAGCCAGCTTAGGGGTGGTGTATGTGCGCGTGAGCGCCACAACACAACAGTGGAAGTCGGAGAACTTTTGAAAATCAGCTTTGTCTTCACTGTGGGCTCTAGTGATTAAACTCGGGTTCATCAGGTGTGGCAAAACCTTTGACCTGCTCATCCAACTTGCCAGTCCAATCTTTGCCAGGCACTCAAGGGTCACTTTTCATCCCTCCCCCCCTTGACAGAATCTAATGTAGCTCAGGCTTGGTCTTGAACTCACATCACAGAAGGCTGACCTTGAAAAGTTTACCCCCTCTTGTCTCCAGCTGCTCCCCAGGGATGGGATTTACCACCACACTGGGTTTATGTGCTGGGGGCCAAAACCAGGGCCTTGGGCTGGAGAGATGGCTCAGCAGTTAGGAGTGCTGACTCCTTTTCCAGAGGACCTGAGTTTCTAGCATTCTAGCACCCACATGGTGGCTAACTACTCTCTGTAACTCCAGTTGCGGGGGGAGGGGGGAAGGTGCTGTCAATGCTGTCTTCTGGTCTCAGACACCAGGCATGCAACTGGTACACAGATATGCAAGCAAAACACCCATACATATAAAACCTTTAAAATAAAAATAAAAACCCCAGCACCTCAAGCATGCTAGGCAGGCACACAATTGATCTTTATCAATTGAGATATATATCCCTATTTCTCTGTTTTGTCTGAGACAGTCATTTGTAGCTGATCTGGCTTCAAATTTGCTATGTTAAGATGGTTGGCCCAAGGCCTGGTGGTGGTGACACACACTGTTACAGGTGGATCTCTGTGAGTTCAAGGCCAGCCTGGTCTACAAAGTGAGTTTCAGGACAGTCATGGTTGTTATACAGAGAAACCCTGTCTCAAAAAAACCCAACCAACCAACCAACCAACCAACCAACCAACCAAAGAAGATGGCCCTGAAATCCTGAGTGCTGAATTACAAGTATGTACTTCATCCTGTACAATGCATTTTGAAGCTGTTGAAAGGCAGTGGACACCTAAGATCTTGGTCTGTAAGAGGATGGGGATCAGTTCTCTTCACCTTGTGTCCTCTATCTCCTCCCTCTGGATCTGGTTCCAATTCCCCAGACCTCCTCTCAGAGACACTTACCCACCAGTTCCTATCACTAAGTCAGCTCCTTTGAGGATTGCAGCCTGCAGATGGACAGACTTCCTCATCCTCAGCCACACAGCTATCTGCTGGGCTTTGTTGTTTTGATAAACAAAAAAGACCAGAAACCACTTGGGGAGGAAAGGATTTCAGCTTGCAAGCTCCAATCACAGTCCATCATGAAGGGAAGTCAGGACAAGAACTTAAGAGCACTGGCTGCTCCTCCTAAAGGACCCAGATTCTGTTCCTAGCTCCCACATGGTGGTTCACAATCATCCAGAACTCCAGTTCCAGGGGATCTGACACTTTCTTCTGACCTCCCGGGGGACCAGGCACGCTCATGGTAAACATACATATATGCAGTCAAAACACTCATATTAAAAAAAAAAAATCCTGAGCAAAAGCCTCAAGGCAAGAACCTAGAAGAAGGACCCAAAACAGAGGCCTTGGAGGAGTTTGGGGCTTGTTCTGCCTGTTTTCTCAGCAGCCTGGGACCACCTGCCTAGGGGTAGCACTGCCCACAGTAGGCTGGGCCCTTCTACATCAATTAAAGAAAATGCTCCACAAGTTTGCCTACAGGCAAATCTTATAGAGGGATTTCCTCAAGTTAGATTCTTTTCCCAGGTATGTCTAGATTTGTGTCAAGCTGACAAAACCAGGACAATAACATGCGTTGTGTTTGCTACTGGAAGATAATTAAGGGTGGAGAGATGGGTCCCTGCTTCTCTAAAAGACCAAGGTTTAGTTCCCAGCACCCACTTGGCAGCTGTTTCAGCAGTCCATATCCCACACCAGGGGATACAATATCTTCTTCTGGTCTCCTCAGGCACTGAACCCATGTGGTGTGCAGATATACATTCAGGCAAAACACTCAAGACATTAAAAAAAATCTAAATAAAACATTTTAAAGAGTTAGTTCTAGGGGGGCTGGAGAGATGGCTCAGTGGTTAAGAGCATTGCCTGCTCTTCCAAAGGTCCTGAGTTCAATTCTTGGCAACCACATGGTGGCTCACAACCATCTGTAATGAGGTCTGGTGCACTCTTCTGGCCTGCAGACATACACACAGATAGAACACTGCATACATAATAAATAAATAAATAAATAAATAAAATAAAAAAAAGAGTTAGTTCTAGGACAGGCTCCAAAGCTACAGAGAAACCCTGTCTCAAAAAACCGAAAATTAAATAAATAAAAATTTAAACGCAAGTAATTGGAGAGAATGGAATCTCATTTGTATCTTAATAAAGCTTGCCTGAAGATCAGAGAGTAAGAAAAACAACCCCACTGGTCAGTCTTACAGACCAGGCAGTGGTAACACATACTTTTAATCCCAGTAGCCACACTAGTTGCCATAGAAATCGGGTGGTGCATGCCTTTAATCCCAGTCCTATAGAGGATTATAAAACAGGAGAGAGCTCTCATTCTGAGACTCCTGGAGGCATGATTGCTATTTTCAGACTGAGGTCGAGGTAAGAGCCGGTGGCTGGCCGCTTTACTTTTCTGGTCTTCAGGTTGAACCCCAATTATCAGTCTCTGAGCTTTTATTAATCGTGCTTCAATGTTCCAGCATGTAAGAGTACTTTCTGCTCTTACTGAAGACCCAAGTTTCTCCTAGCTCACAACTAACTGTAACTCTGTCTCCATGGCAGCACCCTCCCTCTCTGGGACACATGTACACACATGTACACCCGAATAAATAAGAGCCAAGCTTTTGTGCTAGAAAGATGGCTAGGCAGTTAAGAGCACTTGCAGTTATTGCAGACCTGTGTTTGGCTCTTAAGTGTCTACTTGGTGGCTCACAACTTTCAGTAATTCCAGTGATGCCCCCTTCTGGACACTAGGAGGCATCACACATGCACACAGTACATACACATACTTGCACACAGACATTCATACTTGAGAGCTATAAGCAGACAGGGTTTTTCTGTGTAGCCTTGGCTGTCCTGGACTCTCTTTGTAGTTCCAGGCTGGCCTTGAACTCACAGACCCGCCTGTCTCTACCTTTCAAGTGCTGGGATTAAAGGTGTGCGCCATAACTGCCAGGCTAAAAGCATATCTTAAAAAAAAAAAAATTGAGGTCAGGCGGTGGTGGCGCACGTCTTTAATCCCAGTACTCAGGAGGCAGAGGCAGGCAGATCTCTGTGAGTTCAAGACCAGACTGGTCTACAAGAGCTAGTTCCAGGACAGGTTCCAAAACTACAGAGAAACCAAACCCTGTCTCGAAAAACAAACAAACAAACAAACAAATTTCAAACCCTGCATCGGTGGTGGTGCATGCCTTTAATCCAAGCACTTGGGAAGCAGAGGCAGTTGGCCTGAACTACAGAGTGAGTTCCAAGAAACCCTGTCAAAAAAAAAAAAAAAAAAAAAAAAAAAACCCCAAAAAACCAAAATCCAAAACCCAAAACAAACAAACAAACAAACAAAAAAACCAAACAGAGCTGGAGAGATGGCTCAGAGGTTAAGAGCACTGGCTGTTCTTCCAGGGGTCCTGAGTTCAAGACCCAGCAAACACATGGTGGCTCACAACCACCTATAATGAGATCTGGTGGTGCCCTCTTCTAGTGTGAAGTATACAGAATACTGTATGCTTAATAAATAAATAAAAATCCTTAAAAAAAAACAGATAAACAAAAATTCTAAGATAGGGTCTTTCTACGTGTCTCTGTCCTGGAACTTACTATATAGATTAGATTAGCCTTGAACTCAGAGATCTACCTGCCTCTGCTTCCCACAAGCTGAGATTAAAAGTGTGGACCAGGGGCTGGAGAGATGGCTCAGAGGTTAAGAGCATTGCCCGCTCTTCCAGAGGTCCTGAGTTCAATTTCCAGCAACCACATGGTGGCTCACAACCATCTGTAACGGGGTCTGGTGCCCTCTTCTGGCCTACAGGCATTCAGACAGAATATTGTATACTAAATAAATAAATACCTTTAAAAAAATAAATAAAATAAAAGTGTGGACCAGTATACCTGCTCAGATTGTTTTTGTTTGCCTTTTTTTTTTTTTTTTTTTAAAGGGGCTAGGTAGCAACAGCTGTGATTTGGAGGCCAACCTGGACTATATAATGAGACCTCAAAACAAAACAGGGCTGGGGAGGTGGATTAATACATAAAAGCACTTGCCACCAAGCCCGATTCCAATCCAAACTCACATGGTGGAAGGAGAGAACCAAAACATACTGCCCTCTGGTTTCTACACTTACACCATAGTACGCCCATGCATACATGTACACACGTGCTAAATAAACAATACAAAACTAAAAACAAAAAACCTTTCCTGATGTCCTGACACTGTGACCTATGTGCTCCTGTGGGGCAGCAGTTAACTGCTACAGTACTTCAAGTGTTAGAATACTGCATCCTTTCAGACAAAGCAATTCTTTAGCACAAGCTTGTTTATCGTGTATTTCCAAGGCCGTCTAGCTTAACTTGAACTTGGCAAGTATTTGTGGAATCTACACTTTTTTTGTATTCCATGCTCCCCCTCCCTTCACCCAGTTCCAAGGCTAGCACTGGACAACTTTCTATGAACTAGGAGAACAAAAGGAGGAGAAAAACTCCTTTCTGACATCTGACTTCCGCTCACAAGGAAGTGGTCACGGCCATGGCAATGTAGCTCAATGACAGAGCAAGTGCCTAGCAAGTAAGAGGTCCTGGATTTGACACCTTCTGCCCCAGGGCTGGAAAGGTCAGCAGGGCTAGCTCAGCAGACAGATTTGCTGTGTTTGGTTCCCCAGAATCTTCACACTGGAAGAACTGATTCCTTAAGTTACCTGTGAACTCTGCGCACACCATGATATTCCAATCCCAATAACTGAATATTTAAAAATTCTAGAGCCAAGACAGACGGTGGGGGCATACACCTTTAATCCCAGCGTTTGGGAGGCAGAGGTAGGCAGATCTCATTGAGTTTGAGGCCAGCGTGGTCTACAAAGAGAATGTCAGACAGCCAGGACTGTTACACAGAGAAACCCTGTCTCGAAAAACAACAAAAAATTCTAGGGCCAGATGTGGTGGCACATGCCTTTAATCCCAGCACCAAACAGGCAGGAACAGGTGGATCTTTGTGAGTTTGAGGCTAGCCTGATCAACACAGTGAGTTCCAGGACATCCAGGGGCTCCATAGGGACTCTGTGTCCAACAAAACAAAAACTAGTAATTTCAAATAATTGTGAGGGATATGGCCACTTTTGAAGTATGCCATGTATAATCTGAAGATTTGTTTATCAAGGACATCAAAGAATTTACAAAACTGAAGTCAGGTCCTTTTCTGGAGTAGAAATAAACTGTCAGCCAGGCCAGGCGGTGGTGGCGTGCCTTTAATCCCAGCACTTGGGAGGCAGAGGCAGGAGTTCAAGGCCAGCCTGGTCTAAAAGAGCTAGTTCCAGAACAGGCTCTTCTTTTTGAGAAACCCTATCTCAAAAAACAAAACTAAACTAAAAAAACTGCCAGCCAATCACTTTACAGCTAATTGTTAAGTATGGGTCCTGGTCAGGGCTAAAGGTCAACAGAGGATGGGTCTCCTATTAGTGCCCATTCCCTAATACCCTAATTCCCCAGGCATATAAACAAAACCCCAAGTAATAGGGTGCATCCAGGAGACTAGTCAACATTTTTTTTTAATGTCTCACCATGTAATCTTGGCTGGTTTGGAACTTGCAATGTAGACTAGGTTAACTTAAAAAAAAAAAAAATCAGAGAACCTGACTCCTGAGTGCTGGGGTTAAAGGTGTAGGCCAACTTGAAGTAAAGATAAGGGAAGAATATCATCTCTGCATTGGAAGTGCAGAGCGGAAGGAAGGCTTCTGGGTAGACTCAGGACCAGCTAGCCAGGACAGGGTGCTAGCATAGAGGGGAAGGAAGACTTCTCCTGGGTAGACTCAGGACCAGCCAGTACAGGTGGTATAGACACAGAGACAGGCTCTTTATAAAAAACCAAGAGAACCCTGGGATCAACTTTATTGCTGATGGGTGCAGCTCTCCCTCACCGCACCTTGGTCTTTCCAGTGGTCCAAAGCCCCTCCCTCCACAGGACAGCACAGTGCTTAGGCTCTGCTGGGCCAGAGGCAAGGAAGACAGGGTCTCCACCCCAGCCCAGCCTAGCTCTTCCCACTCCCACCCACCCTATTGCACATCATTATGTAAACAAGGCTTCAGGCATGGCCTGGAACAGGATTGAGGCAGATTGATGTGTAAACGGATTTGGGACCAGGAACTAGATAGAGCCAGTCCCTCAGCTCACCTCTTACTGAGGCCACAGCTACATCTGAAAAGGCAGGAGGCCGGTCCCAAACTCTGGCTCAGATTATACAGCAGTTCAGGTGGTTCAGTTCCCTCCTCCACCCACCCTCTCAGATTCCAGGTCCTGAGGTCCAACCACCCTGGCTTGCCTCCAGGACTAGGCAGTGTCCAGTTTTCTCCTTCTCAACCCCTAGCAGGAGGTCACTGGTGCTGTTTCTTCCTGGAAGCCCGGGGAAAACCAGAAACAGGCAAGGGTAGCCTGTCCAGCCCTGGAAAAGAGAAGGCAAGCAGTTGGAAATGGACACGGGTCTAGCTCCTCAGAGGTGAGTCAATCAGAGCATACAAGGGGTAAATGAGACAGGTGATCTACAAATAGGTAGTGCATTTCCTTCCCTGCTGGGGCTACCCTCGGTTCTGAATGAACTTCCCTAGCCAGGCGTCTCACCCTCTTACCAAAGGCTCGGATCAGCTCTGCTCTCACAGCCGCAGTGAAGGTCTTCACCAGACAGAGTGTGGTGAGGCCAGCAAAGGCTGCATTATAGAGAAACACGATGTAGAAATTGCCCAGCCAGTTGAAGCGTCCAAAGTCACCCAGCAGGTCAAAGTGAGTCAGCCCTGAAGTACAAAATTTATAATGAGAAGGAGGAATCCCCCAAAACCCAACTTTCTGCTGCCCCCTGGTGGCCACATCTGAACATCACATCGTCTAGCATTACTATGCATGTATTATTACTCTCAAGCCCATTCCGAGGCCAGTTCAGGACTATTAAATGCACCAGCAGCTAAATTTGCTCCTATTCCTCCTTCCAGAGACTTGAATCTTTTCCTTCAGCTGGGCTGCCTCTAGCCTTGGGGACTTCTAGGAGTTCCCAGTATGGCAAGTGCTTCGAAGCTAAGAATCTACAAGTTTGCTATTAAGTTTTCAGTAGTGTACAGTTTAGTAGCTCAGAGACTAAGCATAGCCTGAAAACTGTCATCATGCTGTTGTTTTGTTTGTTTGTTTTGTTCTTTTTAGACAGGGTTTCTCTGTGTAACAGTCCTAACTGTCCTGGAACCAGCTCTTGTAGACCAGGCTGGCCTTGAACTCACAGAAATTCACCTGCCTCTGCCCTCCTCCCGAGTGCTGGGACTAAAGGTGTGCGCCACCATCGCCCAGCTTGTTGTTTTTTCAATTCCACTTCTAGATAGCTGGGTGATGCACAGCAAGTTCCTTAAATGCTCTGGGCCTCAATTTTCTCAATTTTAAAACAGAGAAAACAAGGGGGCTATAATAATTATGGCAAACACACATTTACTTGTTTGTCCCAGGCACTGTTACAATCTCCTACTCCTCTTCTTTCCCTCCTTTGAGACAGTCTCCCGTGTTCCAGCCAGGCTGCATTATATAGCTGAGGATGAATAAGAACTTGTGATTCCCCCGCCTTGAGACAGGGTTTCTCTGGCTGTACTGGAACTCGATCTGTAGACCAGGCTGGCCTCGAAATCAGAGATCTGCTTGCCTCTGCCTCCCAAGTGCTGGGATTAAAGGTGTGCGCCACCACTGCCTGGCTCCTGCCCTCTTCTAGCCTCTTCTGGAGCCAGACACAGAAATGGTGCAGACAAACATGCACATAAAACAAAGGAAACCAAAAACGGACACCAAAAGCTCAGTGCAGGCCTTTATGAAGCTACACTGTTTTCATCTCTATGTGGGACAGCGGATGTTCGTGGGTGTTTGTGGAAATTAGGGAGCATATCTAATTACAGAGCATTTTCCCTTTCGTTCTCTGTGTGCATGAGTGTGTGAGGGCTCCAGGGAGTGCACTCCAACCAACAGGCTTGATGGTGGCCACTGCCTTTACCAGGTCAGAGAGAGAGAGAGAGAGAGAGAGAGAGAGAGAGAGAGAGAGAGAGAGAGGAAAAGAAAAAAAGAAAATGAAAAGAAAAGCCAGGGAGCTGGAGAGATGGCTCAGTGGTTAAGAGGACTGGCTGTTCTTCCAAAGGACCCAGGTTCAATTCTCACTACCTGCATGGCAGTTCACAACTGCCTATAACTCCAGGTCCAGAGGATCTGACACCCTCACACAGGCATACACATGCAGGCAAAATACCAATGCACAAATAAATAAATAAATAAATTCTAGGGCTGGAGAGATGGCTCAGTAGTTAAGAGCACTTGTTGCCCTTGCAGAGGACCTGAGTCAGCGCCCAGCAGCCACAGTGCCTCAGAATCATCCATATCTCCCCAGCGGAGGCATTTGACCACCTCTACAGGCACCATGCAGGCAAGAGGTACGCAAACACACATACAGGCAAAGCACTCATACACCCCTATGTAGCAGAGGCTTGTCTGACACTCCCATGAAGCCCAGACTGGTCTTTAAACCTCATGTTTTTAATTGATTTTTATCAAGCTCTACATTTTCTCTGCCCCCCTCCCTGCCTCTCCCCTCCCTTTAACTCTCCCCCAAGGTCCCCATGCTCCTGATTTACTCAGGAGAGCCTGTCTTTTTCTACTTCCCATGTTGTCTAAGTTCTCTGTGATTGTGGTTTGTAGGCTGTAAACCCCTTTTTTTGTTTGTTTGTTTGGTTTTTCTTTTTTTAAAAAATATTTATTTGTTTATTATGTATACAGTATTCTGTCAGCAGGCCAGAAGAGGGCACCAGGCCTCATTACAGAGGGTTGTGAGCCACCATGTGGTTGCTGGGAATTGAACTCAGGACATTTGGAAGAGCAGGCAATGCTCTTAACTGCTGAACCATCTCTCCAGCCCTTGTTTGGTTTTTCAAGACAGGGTTTCTCTGTGGCTTTGGAGCCTGTCCTGTAACTCGCTCTGTAGACCAGGCTGGCCTCAAACTCACAGAGATTCACCTGCCTCTGCCTCCCGAGTGCTGGGATTAAAGGCGTGCCCGCCCTGCCTGGCGAGAATCTCACTTTCTGAAGCTGTGAAACAAGCTGATCCATCCCACTCTCAGTACTCACCAAGGGTTCGGGAGAAGACAGGAAGTGCTGAGCTTAGGACCAAAAGGCAGACACAATTCCCAATTATCTGGGTGAGAGAAAAGAAAGAAGCAAGTCAGGCGGTGGCAGAGGCAGGTGGATCTCTGTGAGTCTGAGGCCAGCCCCTCTACAGGAGCTAGTTCCAGGACAGCTAAGACTATTACACAGAGAAACCCTGTCTGGAAAAAAAAAAAAAAAACTAAAACAAAACAAAACAAAACAAAACAAAACCACCCCCCCACGAAACAAAACAAAACAAAAAACCAAACCAAAAAGTAAAGGAAGAAGAGGTAAAAGTAGCAAGAGTTGCCAGCATTCTTGGGAGGCAGAAGTAGGCGGCGGAGATCTCTGAGCTCGAGGCCAACCTGGTCTACAAATCGAGTTCAGGACAGCTAGGGCTATAGAGAGAAACCCTGTTGTGGGGGCGGGGGTTACCAACACCCAACTCACCCATTCCCCAGGAGGCTTCTCCTCTTCCCTCCCATACCTGTGTCATAGCTGTGTCGTGCCATCTGGGTCTCAGGCTTCGGAAGAGTGGAGAACTGTAGAAGCCCATGACCGAGGACACCATCAGGTAACTGCAACTGGGTTAGGGAAGAACTGGCCAGCCTCTAAGAGGGACTGCCTGCCTCAGAGAAAGGACTCCTCAGACCTCTTTTCAAAGCTAAGTTTTGCTGTGTGGCGTATGTCCATGTGTATGCAGAGGCCACAGGTCAAGGATGGGCATCTTCTCCGACATTATTAACTTTATTTACTACTGTGTTGGGTCAGTTCTCACACCCGTGAGTTCCCAGGGATGGCACTCGGGTTGTCGGGCTTACATAGTAGGCACTTTTACCCACTGAGCCATCTTTTAAAAATAACTTTTCTCAACTGTGTGTATATGTGTGGGGTGTGGGCACATGAATGTGGATGCCTGCAGAGGCCAGAAGAGGGTGTCAGATACCCTGGAGCTGGACTTACAAGATGGTTGTGAGCTGCCTGACCCAGGTGTTGGGAACTGAATTTGGGTGCTTTTACAAGAGCATCAACACCCCAACTGCTGAGTCCTCTCTCGGCCCTCACCGGGCCGTCCAGCAAGCCCACTACCCACTACTTACTGAGACAGGCCATTTCAAGCCTAGAACTTAGGAGTTTGGCTATACTGGCTCCTGAACACACTACCTGGATCTTCCTGTCTCTGCCTCCCCAGCACTGGACTATAGGCAGATGCTCTTAACTGACTGAGTTATCTCCCCAGTCCTCAAAATCAGGTAATTTCCTTGTCTGAACCCAAGTTAGATGAAGATTTGCACTCCCTACTATTCCCCACCTCAGCATTCCCGAGTCCTAGGGAGGCAGGTTTGGTAAGCAGAAGCCACAGGGGTTTCCAGAAGGATACAAGATCAACACAACCTGGATGATGGCACCAAAGGACCCCAGTTTAGAGAAGGAGACCTGGCCCAGGGAGGCATCCTGTCGAGGTGGGGTGACATGATTGAGCGACATTCCCACTATGAGTACCACCAGCCCCACCCAGTCTTCCCTCTGTCCTCAGCTTCTGTCTCCCTCTCCAAACTCCCCCCATCCCTTAAGACAGGGTTTTAGGCTGTAGCACAGTGTAGCCCATTCTGTCCTGAAACCCACCTGTTTCAGCCTCCTAAGTGCTAGGGTAGCAGGCATGTGACAGCATATCCAGCTTCCCTAGCCTTTCTTAACTAAGCCCTCTCCAAAAGAAGCGTGGGAAGAGAGTCCTGTACCTGCATGCCCCGCGGCATGGCGGCCTCATCAATGAGCAGCTCCAGGATGTGGATGGCCACAATAAGCACAGACAGGCCCTGTGTGGAGCAAGGTCACCAACTCCCATCATCCCTGCTCCAGCCCACAGTGTGATCTGAGCTCAAAGTTAAGAGCATTCCCTTCAGTACAATGTTTCCAGTTGTAAGAGTAGCTCTGCTTCTGAGCAGATTTAGGGGCCTAGAGCTGCTGTGAGCAACACAGCACTTTGAGGAGACTACTGGACGAACCGCTTCCAAAGGGTGGACTACCTGTAGAGTGCACCTGTGGGGCTGGGGCAGCTCTGCAGGGCACCTCATGTGTGCAAAGCTGGGCCGCCTCCCCCACTCTCCGCCCCCCCCACTCTAAGGAAATGAACTAGGCAAAGGTGCCGGTTCCCCTAAAATTATTCCTGAAGTCCTAATCCAGCACAGGAGAGACATGAGATTTCAATCTTTATTCTCCTTCTGTGTACTTTCTCAATGACCTTGTGTGACTTGGGGCAAGCCAGTTGTATTTCTTCATCCACAAAATGGGAATTAATGCTCTGAGCACAGGACATAAAGCAGGCCCTTTGAGAAGCAACTGCTGCTATGGATGACAACCATGTCAACGCACATCTCTGTCCTCCCTGAGAACCCACTTACTCCCCGCCCCGCCCCACCAAGGCTAGCAAACGCACCGTCAGCAACAGCAGACACAGCATGGCCAGAGGATAGCCCAGGTTCCGCTGCCAAGCTGAAGCCTTCCGCCGCTTTTCTGTGCAGGGGTGGGAGGTGGTTAGCGAGTACTTGAAACAAGGAACTAGTCTCCCGGGGAAAAGCAGCAGCCCACATACCCAAGAGGACCCTCTGGGTCTGCAGAGCCAGGACCTGTCTGTGCAGCAGCTCCATGTCCAAAGGCAGCCAGCAGGAGGTGGGATCTGAGGGCAGAGAACACACTTCCCTTCAGTGCTTGCCGAGGCCAGCCCACTACCCAGCCAAAGGAGCGTTTAAACTCACTGCAGATTCTTCGAGTCAGAGCTGCCTCCTCAAACACCGAACAGTTCAGCTGTTCCTCCAAGTCTTCCAGTAACTGAGGGCAGGGGACAGGAGGCTGTCAGAGGCTCTCTGACCCCAACAGCCCTCTATAGCCCCAGTCTTGGTCTAACTCTGCTTCACCACCCCATGGCCAGCTTTGTCCTATTCCTTCCAGCTCCTCGTGTTCTGACCAGCTCCAGACAATGGGGCAAAGGACACGATGCCAACCAAGGGTGTGGCCTTCTGCGAGTTGTGCACAACACAACCGTGGACTCATTTTGCAGCTTGGCCTCAGATGCAAAAAAATCCACCCTGTACAAAAGGCAAGGAGCACCACGTACCCGGGGCTTGACTAGCAACTTCCCAGTGACGGAGAACATGCGGGCAAGACCTAGTGGAGTGCACACTGTAGGGACAGGAGCATGTCAGTCACCTCGCAGATCCTTCACTCCCTCTCCCTCCCCAGCCCTCCCCAGCCCTTCTCCTTCCACCCTGACTTCTGGAGCCCAGGATGCTCTTTCTCTCTCCGACTCCGCACTCACCCAGGAGCAGGAGCACTCCGAGGAAGGAGATACAGGAGTAGAGGTAGGGGAGGTAGTACTCCCAGAAGTCTAAAGACAAGAAAAGCACGTCAGCTTATCTTCTCCTGATTCCTAGGAAGTGACAGGGCTCAGTTCACACAAGAACACAATACAAACACCTCCAGGCTTAGGCAAGTAACGACCGCGGAGAGCTGGCCCCAGTGAGAAGTGGAGAGCTGAGCAAACTAGAGATCCTCAGAAAGGCACAGCTGCTTTCTGGTCCAGGTGAGTAGGGTTAAGTACAGTCAGAGCCTAGATTCTAAAATGGGAGGCTGGGTATGGTGGCATGTGCCTGTAATCCCAGCAGAATCAGGAGGTCCAGGCAGAAGATTTCAAGGACAGCCTGGGCTTTACAGTGAACAATTGGTTACCTATTATCTATTATTTTTAACCAATGTCTATGTAGCTCTGGCTGGCCTTGAACTCAGAGATCCACCTGCCTCAGTCTCCTGAATGGTGTAATTAAAATTACATGCTATCATCCTGGCTGATTATTTTTTAAAATCACTGCATGGACCCAGGGGAATATTTCTATATGTCAGATGTGTCCAAAGTCCATCAGTTTGGAACTTCAATCTATAGAAATGGTGGCAGTTTTTCCACAGCTGATCAAATGCACATTGCCAACTCAAGAGCCAGCATTTTTTTTCTTTTTAAGATAGAATCTTAGCTGGGTGATGGTAGAAAACACCTTTAATCTCAGCACTTAGGAGGCAGAAGCAAGCAGATCTCTGGGAGTAAACAAAGAAACACTGTGTGTGGGGGGAAACCAGGCGGTGTTGGCGCATGCCTTTAATCCCAGCACTCAGGAGGCAGAGGCAGGTGGATCTCTGTGAGTTCAAGGCCTACAAGAGCGAGTTCCAGGACAGGCTCCAAAGCTACACAGGGAAACCCTGTCTTGAAACCCCCCTCCCCCAAAAAAGAGAGAGAGAACATCTTCTTCCATAGCCTAAGATGGCCTTACACTCACTATACGAACTCATGGCAATTGCCCTTACTTAGTCCAGAGTGCTCAAATTACAAACTCTAAAGAGGAGGTAGGAGGGAAGCCTGGAGAGATGGCTCACTGGTTAAGAGCACTTGTTGATCTTGCAGAGAACCCAGGTTTGTTTTCCATCACCCAAATGGCAGCTCCAGCCTTCCATATAACTCCAAGTAGAGGATCTGGCGCCCTCTTCTGGTCTCTGTCGCTACTGCACAGATGTGGTACAAAGGTATGCATACAGGAAAAAATCCATTCACACAAATGTTCAAAAAAGCCAGGTGGTGGTGGCGCATGCTTTTAATCCCAGCACTCGGGAGGCAGAGGCAGGTGGATCTCTGTGAGTTTGAGGCCAGCCTGGTCTACAAAAGTTAGTTCCAGCACAGGCTCCAAAGCTACAGAGAAACCCTGCCTCAGAAAAAACAAACAAAAATCTTCAAAAAACAGGAAAAAGCTGGAGCTCTATTACGGTTTGGATACAAAATAGTCTTTCAAAATGTGAACATTGAAGGCCTGGTCTCTGTTACAACGCACAAAGGCGTGCTCTTAGGAAATGATTAGAGCTAGAATTTTGGCCATCCATGGGTTTATTAGCTTTGCCCCTTGCCATGAGGTTCTGCTTCACCACAGCCCAGAAACCAGAGCTGAATGACCATAGACTAAAGCCTCTGAACTCAGGACTGTTCCTCCTTTGAATCACAGTGACAGAAAGTTTAACTCTTACCATAGAGTGACTCCCTGCTGGCCTTGTCATTATCTACAATGGCTGATGCCACCCACACCATGCCCAGCACAAGCAGAGTGAGGAGTATCAACATTACCACTGTCTCGTAGACCCGGCCCAGGACACCCTGCAGGAGGAGGAGATGGGTAAAGCACAGGGGTCAATCACACAACAGTGTGGGGAAGGAAGAAGACATCAGAGCTAGGCCTGGGCTTGAGGCACCAAGGAGGTCTGGATTCAGTAGACAAGAGGGAGTGTTTCTCTTTTTAATTCTGAATCACTCTGCCGTCCTACTCGTCTGGGCCATTCCATATTCTGGGGATTCATTGAAATCCCACCCTCAAATCATTCAGTCTCGTCTGCTCCCAGGAGATGGCCGTGAGTTCAGCATCACACAGGCTCTCTGCCTTTTGGTGCAGCCTGCTCCATGCAGGGGTCAGCAGGGAAGTGAAAGGGGCGGAGCACGTCTGGGGTTTCCTATGCTTTCTCTCACCTTTAGCATATTGGTTTCCAGTAGCAGCTACATAAGACAGTTAACTCTTCTGCTAAGTGAGCTCCTATTCTCAATTTTAACTACCAGTGGTTCTAGAAGCACCCCAAAGGTTTGGGGTGACAATGATTTCTCATGCTGCTATAGCCTCAGACTCCTTGTTTCATCCCTGAAGTCTGCAATTTATCTAGAGTAGAGTTCTGCTTCTGGCCTGAGTTCTTATGTTTCCTCACTCACCTTTCTGGAGCCAGCGAAGCCCTCAGACTCTGTGAAGAAATATGCAAAGGGCATAAGGAAGATGAGAGACAGGTTGGAGAAGAGAAAAACGAGGTTCCAAAGACCTAGAGCCAAAAAGGAAGAGCAGAGTTGGTCATTAAGGGGCCAATCAAGGCTGCCTGAGCCTGCCTAATTACCTGCCCTACTCCCTACCCCAGGCTCCATCCCAGACCACATACCATGGATGAGGGAGCCGTTGAGCCACTGGATATAGTAGTTCCTTGGCAACGAGAGCAGCACCTCATTGCTGATGATGGAGAAGGGCAAAAGCAAGACAGCACCCAGGGCGACTGCCAGGGTAAAGGTGCACAGCTCCAGCCTGACAAGTGGAAAGGACGGGTCAGCCCAGCACTCACTGCCCTACTGCCCCACAAACCCCACTTTCCCCCAAGACTTCTACTTCTAGAACCAGCAGGAGCGATGGGAGGGAGCTGTCCAGCTGGGCTCTGCCCACTGCCATCCCACCCTAGTCCTTACCTACAGAGTAGCCTTGGCAGCTGGGACGGATGCCACCTTAGGTAGTCATAGGCACCTAATCACCAGCTTGTTTAGACTATCCCAGGAATGCCATCTTCCCATTCATGCCTATAGGGCATGCCAGGAATGCTAACAAAGCAAGAGACGTGGCTCCTCCTCTCTGCTTAGGGATACAGACTTTGAGCTTGCCTTTTCTGGGTGGATAAGAGCTCAGTCTCCATATGGCTATGCCCTTTAAGAAGGCATTAGTGTAGAGGATAAAGATAAGCTAAAACCAATCTTCATAAGCAAGGCCTGTGCCACAGGCTGTGCCAGCTGAGAACACATTCAGAAAAGGAGAGTGCTGCCTTCTAGTCTGTCAGTCCAGAGGGGGCAGCTCTGTATTTCCTCTATATGTGCTGCTAGTGAATGAGAACTGTCCATGGGGGCTGGAGAGATGGATGGCTCAGCAGTTAAGAGCACTGACTGCTCTTCCAGAGGACCTGGGTTCAATTCCCGGCACCCACATGGCAGCTCACAGGTATCAATGACTCCAGGTCCAGGGGACTCAACATCCATGGCAAAACACAAATGTATATAAAATAAAAATAAATAAGATTTTTAAAAAATGTCCATAATAAGGGCCTTTCTCTAACAACCAAGCACCTTTGTCTTTAGGGTGTTTTGTGCGTGTCTGTGTGTGTGGTGGTGGGGTATTCAAGACAGGGTTTCTCGGATCCCTCAGGGATTTTCGATCTTCACCAAAGCCTGCCCTGTTTCCATTAGCCTGTCTCCCCTTTCCATTCCCCACCCACATTGACTGTTAGGAGGTGAAGCCAAGCTGAAGCCATTTCCTGATGACTCAGGCCCCAGCCAATATTCACATCATGAAGCTGCTGGCCCAACCAGGGAGACAGGAACAGCAGCTTTTCTGAACATCCCAAGTATAGGGTAAAGCCGGAAGAAGCCAGAAATAGGGTGGAAGTAGGAACTCCTTTTGGATGGATGACAGCTCCTTCTCCCGCTGCCCTAGAGGACTTTCTAGATCCCAGCGTCTAAAAGGCACTGGATCCGGGTGTTGAAGGTAGTGACACTCACGCAATCTTGTTAACTGTGGCATCTTCATCATCCACTGCAAGAGACAGACAGGAAGGGGACTCAGCAGGACATCAGTGGGTGGTTCTGCGAGCCAAACTTATTACCCTGTCCCCGTCATTGAAGACAGTGCTGAAAAAGAGGCTCTGGGAGATCTTACATTATGAACCTCACAACCTATTCCCCAACCAAGGCGGCAGCTTGAGGAGAGTGGGCCTAGGTACACAGAGTAGAAGCCCCTAATCCCCACGCTCTTCTCCTTCCTCCTTGTCACTAACAGGTTCCTCTTTAGAGAGGCTCAGACTGCAGTCTGTGAGGTTGTTCACATCAGTGTCTGGGTGAAGGAAAAAGAAACGTGCAAAGGGGGAAGATGGACTTCACAGAGAAAAGTCTCCCAGGGGACAGCACTGATGTAGTGCTGGGAATGGTCCGCTAACCCCATCGAGATCCATGGGACCCAAAGCCACACTCCAAAGAAAACTTAGCCTCTCTACAAAAAGAAAGACTACTGCCACCAAATCTTGGGAGGTGCCTGGTCCTTGTGGGAGAGCACTAGGAAGGAGAAGGCACAAAACACATGCCCATGGCATGCAGTTACCTACTTCAGGTTCACAAACGGCTCTCACTTGGTCCTCCCAGTGACAAAGTACCAGGTGGACTAATTATGCCCAATTTGTAGGGTGAAACTGAGGATCAGAAAAGTTACATGGATGCCGTGTAGCAATGCCGTATGACTTTAATCCTAGTACTTGGGGGCATAGGCAGGCAGATCTCTTTGAGTTCAAGACCAGACTGGTCTACAAAGCAAGTTCCAGGAAAGCCAGGGCTACACACAGAGAAACTCTGTCTCAAAAAACCAAAACAAAACAAAAAAACTACATGGATAAGGATATGGTAGCACACACCAATACACCTTGGGAGGTGGGAGGTGAGAGGTAGAGACAGGAGTTCAAGGTCACCCTTAGCTACAAGGAGTTTGAAGCCAGCCAGGACTATATGAGATATTGTCTATAAAACAAAATAAAACCAAGAAAGGGGTACCTGATTTTGAAAATGCCACAATAAAACATTATTTTGTCATTATTTTGTACTCTAACTTAAAATATATACAAATAAAGTAATTAAGTAACAAGAAAGGAATGAAAGCTATTTCCATCTATTTCTCTAGCAGCCACTGTAGTTCTGCTTGTGGAAGGACGGGGCTGAGCAGCAAAGGTTTCAAACAGCCCAGCACAGCCACCGTTCCTTTCCCAACAGGCACCGTCGCCCACTCCTCTGGGGCTGGCTCTATGGCAACTGGAACTCTGGCTGAAGGCAGGGAGGTCAAAAGTACCTGTGGTAAACTCAGCAGGCTTCTTGAAGCGGGTCAGGAAGATATGGCAGAGGATGTAGAGCGTTGCAAACAGAAGTATTGAGATCTGTGGCAAAAAAAAAAACAAGCTGGAATGATATGTTCTTTAGTTTCTAGCACATTCCACAGCCTAAGGGTTCCAAATATCGGGGGCTCCAAGCAGGACCAAACAGAGGCTATCCCAAGTCCCTGGGAAATAGTGCCAACCAACTCCTGGCATTTTGCTGGAGTCACAAGCTTCAACCATATCTTTAAAGGTGAACAAAGAAACTTCTAGAAATATAAATACATATGCATATACATATCCCATACCCTAAATCAGGCCATAGAGCAAGAGAGACTAACTATACTTTGACAACATTCCAGGAAAGTAACAGGCTTGAGAAAAAGTTGTCTGCATTGTCTTCGTATTCTTCTTAGCCAACTCCATTTGCTGTCTGAGAAAGTATACTCCATGATCTGCTATGTCAGAATCACGTCTACAGAGCAAATCTGAACTTCTACTGGTTGTTCAGGACCTGAAACATCAGGTCTGCTCTGTGGCAAACTAGAGCCCATTTAATTATCATTTAGCAAGGCTTTAGTCAGGCCCAACATTTCCAGAGTTGGTTATCTGCCACTTTAAAATCCTCAGGTTCTTCCACAAGTGACTTTCAACTTCAGGGCCAGGGGCTCTTAGGACCTACCCATGGCCCTGAGTGGTTAGACCTCCAATTGACAGGGACAAAACGTGGACAGATTAATTAGTACGTGGGTTACATATGGACACTACCCCAAAGCCAGAGAATACCAAAAAAAAAAAAAAAAAGATGTCACTGCAGTTGAGGAGGCAAAGACATGATCAGTCTCCTGTGTCTTCTAGTCTCCAAGAGGAACTGACCTTATACGAAATCTGTTCAGTGACAAGGAGAGAAGACGCCAAGAAGTCCTGAATCTAGAATATAGCTGTAGCTTCTGACTTAAGGAACCCCCATAAAAGCAGTCACCAAGATTGCAGCTGCATTTTTACAGCTGGGTTCTGCTCATTCTGCCCTGAACTTGCGCAATACTCAAGAAGGTAGAGAGCTTAGAAGGTCAGGCTTGGACTTCTACCCACTTCCAGGAGAGGCTAGATTGTTCTATTTTTTTTTTTTCTTTTGAAACACGGTTTCTCTGTGTAGCCTTGGCTGCCCTGGAATTCACTCTGTAGACCAGGCAGGTCTCGAACTCAGACATCCGTCTGTCTCTGCCTCCAGAATACTAAGATTAAAGTCATGTATCACCACCACCATCCATCCCAGGTTGTTTCTAACTTCTAGACGGAAGCCATGAGGAGGATGTACATGAGACCTTCAGGTGTCCTTGGCCGGTGCTGATGTCCTAAGCTAACAGCTTAGAAGGCAGAAACATAAGCAGTTTCTAAGGGCTCATCCCTTCAGGTTGTCAGTCCCTATACTGTGTCTCAAGGCCTAGATGTGCCTCCATGATATGCCCAATGCCCCAATGAGTACCTTTCCACCAAGGACACACAAGATGCTACTTGAGTCCTACCCCTGAGGCCCTACACTTGTACTTTCCAGTTCTCATTGATAAAGGCAGACCTCAGTATATGCTGTGTCCCTTTACCTTTTCTTCAACCTAAGCATGCCAAGACTTCTTTCCATTCCTCCAAACCCTTCCCTTTTCATTTAGTATGCTCAGAGTTCTATGAAGAAACAGCAGACAGAGAGATGGTTCCTGCAGGCTACCCTGAAGGAATAAGAACACGCTAGAGGGCCGGGCGGTGGTGGTGCTCGCCTTTAATCCCAGCAGTCGGGAGGCAGAGGCAGGTGGATATCTATTGAGTTCGAGGCCAGCCTGGTCTACAAGAGCTAGTTCCAGGACAGGCTCCAAAAGCTAGAGAAACCCTGTCTCGAAAAAACAACAACAACAAAAAAACACGCTAGATGTATTCAGGACTACTGTAACCCCTCCCCCCACACACACACAGAACAACTCCCAGAATGGCTAGTCTTCCAGTCTTCCAGGGTGTCAAATAAATTATCAGGAAGTGTTGTGGGGTGTGCGTCACTGTGTTGGCTTGTGTTTGGCATGCTGCATGCCAAAGGCCCAGGGTTCAATCACAACACGAATGAAAACAAACCACCATCATTGAAGGGAAGAAAAAAATAGGCGCGGAAACTTCGGTGTCTCTCCATCTCGGACAGGATTACTTTTCTTCTTTAGTGGCGGGGACCCACCGTATCCTCTACTCTTCCCTCGCGCCACCACTGCACGTCCCTTGTTAACTGCTCAGTGTGACCGGGTCTCGCTTCATCCCAACATCAGCTATGATTGCCCTTCATCTACTTTTAAGGAGAATACGCACATCAACTTGTCCCAAAGCAAATCCATCCTTTAAGTGGAGGATCAGACTTTTCCGCACAAGAGACCGACCGCCAGGAACGCCCGCCGAGGAGGAGTCGAAGGGGGCTGGGGGAGGGGCGAGCAGCCGAGGAACGGAAACCCCGCGGCTTTGTTTACGACTCAGAGACCCAGCATACCCGACTCAGGAGTTCGCCATCCCGGCCCCGGTCCTCCCAGGGACCGAGGTGCTGGAAGCCGGGGCAGCAGGACTTCCTGTCCCCACAGCTGCCTGCGCCCCTCCCACCTCGGCCCGGCCGGCCCCTTCCCGCCCAGGTCCCTCACTCACGATGCACTCGCGGACCCTGTCGTGGAACAGCTGCTCTCGAACGGATAGCACTTCGTAGTCAGCTGCTTCCATACTCTGCTCAGCATGACTGGGGCGGGGCTGTCTCCGGGTCCGGGGAGGACGAGCGGGGATGAGGCCGCCGCCGCCCGCCAAGCACCCGGACCCAGCCTAGGAGCTGCTCCTCGCTGCCCGTGACGGAAACTCAAGGTAATCTGGGGCTCAGATTCAGCCGTCGGACGCCACGCCCTTAAAGGGGCAGGCCCCAGCCCGCTTTGTCTTAAAGGGCTCGGGTTCTCCGCGGCTCCCTCCCCTTTAAGGTGGGGGTCACTCACAGTCACGTTTCAACGCAAGTACCGGCCGCCCAGCTACGCGGAAGCTCCCGGCTCGGTGCTAGCCTTTTAAGAGGCCCGGTGACGACACAAGGCCTGGGCGGGTTTCTTTCAAACAGCGGAATTTATTGGCTGCCTGTTGGCTGTCGCTCATCGTAAAGGGTGCGCTGATAGGATATTCTGGGAAAGGAGGCGGGATATTTTTGGCCTGTCGAAGCTGTTGTAAAAAGAATCCACTTGATCCGATGTTGAGATGTGCTGGTTCCAGGATATTAATATCAGCCACGATTTTAGTTTAAATGAATGGTTTGGATCAGGACAACCAGTCGAGATGTAAGAGCACCATGCGGCCCTGTAACCCAAGGGCCTATAGCGTTTTCTCGAAGTGTATTACTATTGGAGATTTCCCCAGCCACTCCTGAAAGCTTTCACTCAATCATTTTTATGGAAGGCTTAGGCTATTAAAGAACGAATAGTAAAAGCAAAATTTGGATAGGAAAGCCAGGCTGTGGTGGCACACGTCTTTAATCCCGGGAGGCAGAGACAAGTGAATCTCTGAGTTCCAGCTAGCCTGGTCTATAGAGTGAGTTCCAAGACAGCCAGGGCTACACACAGGCACTCTGTCACGAGAAAGAAAAAAAAAAAAAAAAAAGCCAGCGGTCGCCTTTAATCCTAGCACTCCGGAGGCAGAGGCAGGTGGATCTCTGTGAGTTCGAGACCAGCCTGGTCTACAGAATGAGTTCCAGGACAGTTCCCAAAGCTACACAGAGAAGCCCTGTCTTGAAAAATCAAACCAAAAATAAAAGGTCACGAAACTTTTGTTGACAGGTCTTGCTATGCAAACCAGGCTATCCTTGACTTCTCAGCGATCTTACTCAACCTTCCAGTTGATTGCTAGATGATATAGGCATGTTCTACCAGGCCCGGGCTATCCTGAAACCCTGTGAGGAAATGTCCACAGGGAATATTGGTGAGCAGACTGAGCCAAACATTAACTAACTACCAAACATTAACTACCTACCTGCTATGTGCCATTCTCTTTATAGCCTTTATCTAATTTTAACATCATAGCAGGAATTTGAAACTAGAAAGTAGAGATTGTCATGTTCCTACTTAAGACTTGGGATCTAGGCCAGATTTGGTGGTGGCACACACCTTTAATCCCAGCATTCAGGAGGCAGAGGCAAGTGAGTTCAAGGCCAGCCTGGTCTACAGAGTGAGTTCCAGGACACCTAGGGCTGTCACAGAGAGAAACCCTGTCTTGAAGAACAAAAATAATAAATAATTTTTTAAAAGCCTTAGAATTGCGGGCTGGAGAGATAGCTCAACAGTTAAGGGCATTGAGTTTTCTTCCAGAGGACCCAGGTTCAATTCCTAGCACCCACATGGCAGCTCACAACTGTAACTCCAGTTTCTGGGAATCTAACACTTTCACACCAATGCACATAAAAAAAAAAAGCCTTAGACTCTAGCTGGGCATTGTGGCAGGTATCTTTAATCCTAGCACTAGGAAGGCTGAAGCAGGTGGATCTCTAAACTCAAGGCCAACCTGTTCTACATATCGAATTCCAGGCCAACCAAAGTGACATGATGAGAATCTATCTCAAAAAATCAAAACAAAAAGAAAACCATTTGCTTGTGTATGCATATGTATGTAGCAAGCTTTCTTGTTGGCCTATCTTTGGATCATCAACCCCCAAATAACAACACAAAGACTAACTATGAAAACTTAGGCTTTTTCTCAACTAGCTCTCATAACTTAAATAAATCTGTATTTATTTGTTTGTTTTTCTTGTTTGTTTATTATTTTGGTTTTTCGAGACAGGGTTTCTCTATGTAACATGCCTCACTATCCTGGAACTTGCTGTAGACCAGGCTGGCCTTGAATTTATTGAGATCTGCCTGCCTCTGCCTCTAGAGTGCTGAGATTAAAGGTGAGCACCACCACCACCCGACTTTAACCCATTTTTATTAATCTATTTCTTCCACATGGCTTGGTTACCTCTCCTTTGTACCACATGTCTGACTTCTTCAGTGTCTTGCTGTCCTCTCTCATGCTCCTATACTCATCCCAAATTCTTCTCTGCCTGGAATTTCCTCCATTCATTCATTCTCTCCTTACTAGCTATTGGTCATTTAGCTCTGTATTAAAACAATCACAGTGACACATCTTCACACAATATAAACAACTGTTCCACAACATATATATATATACATAGTTGGCCCTCCACATTGTTGAGTTCCACATTTGTGAGAGCAATTACCCTCAAATTTAAAAAAAGAAAAGAAAAATAAAAGGTACCTGTCAAGATGTTTCAGTTGGTAAAGTGCTGTCCTGCAGGTAGGAGCTAAGTTTCATCCCTAGTAGACAGTTAGTAGTTCACACTGGTGAACCAAGCACTGGGGCGAGGAGATGCAGATAGTAGAATCCCCAATACCCTATTGATGTAGCCTCAGGGCCTAGCAACAGGTCAAGTCTAAAAAAACATTTGAAATACAAAGTGAGAATCTGTCTCCAAAAACAACAGCAAGATACAGTTGAGGCTGGGGATAGTGGTAAAGAACTTAGCATGTGCAAGACCTTGGATTTGGTCCCCAGTACCATGAAGAAAACAATTTGGGAGCAAAATCACGTCTGTATTGAGCATGCATATAGACTTTTATGTTCTTGTCATTATTCCCTAAACAATATAGTATAATAACTATTTGCATAGCATTTACATTGTATTAAGGATTATGGATATTCTGGAGATGATTTAAAGTATCCTGGGGATATGCATAAATTATATGCAAATTCCTCTAGGCTTTCTTTTCCGGAATTCGGTATTTAGACTAGGCTGGCTTCAAATTCACAGAGACCTTCTTTCTCTGCCTCCTGAGTACTAGAATTAAAGACATGTGCCACCATGCCACACCCTACACCATTTTTAAATTTACTTAATATACATGTGTTCTCTGTGTGTATGTGTGTGACTGTGTCCAACAATTAAACTCGAGGTATCAGACTTGGCACTAAGTGCCTTTACAGGCCAGGCCATCTGAGTCCTCAGACACTTATTTCAACTATGAAAAGCACTGTGCTTTAATGACAGTACTGAAATGCAAATCAAGTTGAGGTTGGGTATGTTGGTACATGCCTGTAATCCCAGCATATGGAAGGCTGAAGCAGAATGATGTGAGTTGGCCAGCTTGGGTTAATGAGTTCCAGTCCAACCTGGGCTACCTTGTCTCAAAAATAAAACAAAAATAACTAAAAGACTTAGAACAAAACCAGAATATTTCACTCACATTTACTTAATCGGCATGTATAAAATTAAGGTCCATTATGTGCCAAGGGCTAGGCATGGGTAGTAGACAGAAATAAAGGATGGGACTCCCGCTGTCATAGAGCTTAGAGCCTGTAGTAACAAGGAACAGTGAGATGGAGCTTGCAGCCAACTGTGGCTCTAGCTCCAGTGAGATCTGATATTCCTGGCCTATGAGGCACCTGTATTCATGTGCATTTACCCACGTAGAGGCACACACACTGTGGTGGTTTGAATGAGAATAGGCCCCAAAGGCTCATTATATTTGAATACTTGGTACCCAAGTGATGGAACTTTGTAGGGAGTCTTTCTCTGTTCCATTAGCCAGTTCCCAAATAACCACATGGAGATTATTATTAATTATGAAAGCTCAGCCCATAGCTTAGACTTATTTCTAGCTAGCTCTTATAACATAACCTATTTTATTAACTTACATGCCTCACGTGGCTCATGGCTTGTTACCTCTTCTCCTACATGCCATGCTTCCTCTGAATCTCACTGCAACTCTGCCCTTCTTCTTCCCTCTCTCTGCCCCCCAAATCCTGTCTAGTTATTGGCCATTCCCCTTTTTATTAAGCCAATCTGAGTAACACATCTTCACAGTATACAAAAAGATTATTCCACAACAGAAATGTTTGGGACGGATTAGGAGGTGTGGCCTTGTTAAAGAAGATGTGAACTGAGCCCCCCAAGATCCAAATGAGGAGCAGAAGGAGGAAGAAAATGACGAAGGACTGCGAGGGATACTATCACCCACTGATACAAGGGGTCGGATCTAATGAGAGTTTACCAAGGCCAGATGGACCGTGACTGAACGAGCATGTGATCCAACCAGATTCTCTGAATGTGGCCGGATTTTCTGAATGTGGCTGGCCTGCAGTCTTTCTGAGAAGCCATTGACAATGACACTGGGACTGGTTTCCTCTGCATATACTGAATTTTTGGGATCCAGTCTGTTTGGATGCTCACCTTCCTGGACCTGGAGGGAGGGGGGAGGAACTTGGACTTCCCACAGGGCAGGAGACCCTGACTGCCCTTGGGGACAAAGAGGGAGGAGGAGAGGGAGCGGGGAAGTGGGAGGGCGTTGGGAGGAGGGGCATAAATGGAAACTTTTTATAATTTAATAAAATTACTTTAAAAAAAAAAAAAAGAAGATGTGTCACTGGGAATGGACTTTGAGAGTTCAAAAGCCCAGGCTATTCCCTCTTTATCTGCTTCATGTTTGTGGATCAGATGAAGGCTCTCATCTTCTGCTCCACAGCCATGCCTGCTTGCCTGTTGCCATACTTCTCACCATGATGGCCATGGTCTCACCCTCTAAGCTCTAAGCTCCCATAAACTCTTTTTCTATGAGTTGTTTTGGTCATAGAGCCTTATCACTGCAATTTAATTTTTGGTTGTGAGCCTAGCCTTTAACGGCTGGGCCATCTTTCCAGCCCTCACTGTGATTTAAAAGTAACTAAGATGTAAATTGGTACCAGGAAGTGGGTTAATTCTGTGACAGGCCTGACAATGCCATTTTTTGGAGGAATATGGAAAACTTTGGGACTTTGGACTAGGAAATGGTTTCATACTGTAGTTGGGGCTTAACAGGCAGTAGTGCTGAGATCAATGTTTCTTAAGGAGAGATCTGAGCCTGGTGGTGGTGGCACATGCCTTTAATCCCAGCACTCCAGAGGTAGGTGGATCTCTGAGTTTAAGACCAGTCTGGTCTATAGAGTGAGTTCCAGGACAACCAGGGCTAT